CGTGTGGCCGTCATCATAGCCAGCCTCTCTGATGCCTTCTTGATCTGGAGTCACCAAACAACCATGTCACTTTCCCCGCAGACAGGCACAGAGGGAGCCACCCGTCACTGTGTTGGGAAAACAGACGTAAGCGGTCTGCAGCGACCCGCTCCAGTCAAGCCAGGACGTAAGCCAGGACATATGGTCTTCGTCGTCCTCCTCCTCCTCACCTTGTGTGTATTTTCTCCGTTTAACTAGGGGAAGGCACTCATTAAAAGAAGAAATTCACCAAAGAGCCGGGAAACGAGTCTGAAAATAGACAAAAAGGCAGCGGCGGGGGATGTGCTGAGCACGCCTTTACAAGGAGTCACAAGCATCTAAAATCGGCGAGGGCGTCACCTTACATCACACGGCACACACCTGGTTCCCAAGCCTCGAAGTGGACGGCTCACGTCAGGGTGGGGCGGCTCCGTGTGCTGGCCGGAGTCCCAGGCCCATCCTGAGGTGAGAGGGAGGTCACGAGAGCCGAGACTGGAGGCGGCTGGTGGGTGGACAGTGACCGCGGGGCAGGAGGAGAAAACTCGACGACAAGGGGCTGGAAAGACCCCTTTTCATGAAGTCAAGAGAGGTAACACTCAGAGCCCTTTCGTGTCAAACACAAAATCTGAGAAAAAACTTACAAGGCATGTGCTGAAACAAATGCTGAAGAAGTCCTGTGGTAGCTGGCTACACGGGGGTCACGTGCACTCCTAACAACCTCATACAGAGGCTGTCATACACACCGGAAACGTGCTACAGACACATTCTCAGCAGGCTTCCAAATACGTCACATTTGCCAGGAGCAGCGAAAAAGACCTAATGTACCATTTCCCAGGTAGAAATAAAAAGTAGATGGAAACTAAAACAAGAAAAGCAGGCTCNCTACAGACACATTCTCAGCAGGCTTCCAAATACGTCACATTTGCCAGGAGCAGCGAAAAAGACCTAATGTACCATTTCCCAGGTAGAAATAAAAAGTAGATGGAAACTAAAACAAGAAAAGCAGGCTCTCCATGGACTCTCCTTGGGAAAAATAGAACTCTTGAAAATGTGAGGGTAGTGGGTGTGGCGAGCTTTCCATTTGGGGTTCCAAAGATAGACTTCGCTTTCATCTGTGAATGCCCCTAGATTTCTCATCAGAAGATTTCACAGCGTAGGGTAAGTCAAGGACAGGCCATGTTAAGATGGCATCTACTTTATTTAATGCGAGATGTCTGCCTCTGGGGCTGGGGCGGAACCCACTGAAATGATTCGGGAAAAG